AAGGCATAGTATAAAATCAGGCCACAATCAAAGACAGACTGTGTGTTTAGCAAAACATTTAAGATCTGTGCCTCACGACTATGTAAAAATGCATTAGGTTTTCACCCCTGCTGTGGCCGAAGAAAATTACATGTAATCTTCCCCTTTTGCTGGTTTTGCCTAGTTTTTCCCAAGTACAGATGCTTCTTCCACTAGGCCTGGGCCACTGAATAGGCTCACATGGGGGTTTTGGATACAGTCAAGCAAAACTGCAGGACCTGTGCTGTTATCACTACTTGTAGCGTGATCAAAGGGAAACCTGCAAGCAGCTGACAGCTTCTAGGAGAGTGGGTGGGGAAGAAGTTGGTGTAATTAGATATGAAAGAGGGGGCTAGAAAAACAAAAATATATCCATCTGGTATCTCCAAATTTTATCAACCATTTAAATCCAGTAGCAGCTCTATGGTGAACAAGATTTCACACACACACACACACACAGAGCAACTTTCAATTGTGGAACAGTATACTATAATATAAATTTGCTATAATTACTGTGTGGTTGTTGGCATTACTCCTTAAAATAGGCCCTGATGTGCTGAGTATCTGACCTGCAGCTGAGCACCTAGTTCCACAGCTCCGAAGAGAGCAGTACTCGGTGCAGTCTGCTTTAACCTGGGGAAGTAAGGATGACAAGCCTGTTGCCCAAGTGTTCTGTCTTGTACTCTAGTTAATGTATTATACTGAGACTGATGACATTCACCAGCTCAGATGTGGTCCACAGCCTAAATCCAGATTAATCTGTCTACAATATACTCCAGCCTTATGAACCCTCATTTACCCAAATGTCATTTGGCATTTTGGGCTCCCCTCTCAAACTCCATGAGGATTCTCAAAGAAGTTGACAACTCCTATCTACTTTAAAGCTGTCAATGCGTTTTAGTTCTACTACGGATTTTGAAAGAAGCTCCAATGGTGTAGCAGTTACAGTATTCAGCTGTTAACCAGAAGGTTGGTTGGTGGTTTAAACCCACCAGCTGCTCTGCTGGAGAAAGATGAGGCAGTCTGCTTCTGTAAATTATAGCCTTGTAAACCCTACAGGGCAGTTTTACTGCCTTCTAGGATTGCTGAGTGGGAAATTGACTAGGCAATGTGGTTTTTTTTTTTTTTTTTTTGATGGGTTTTAAGGAAAGATGGCCAGATAAATTTACATAAATTCCATAATTCTTTTGGCCACATGGACGATGAAATTGAAAAGGACTGTGTTACCTGTGGAAAGACCATTCCTTCACTTCCATTACCTTCAAATGAAAGAAAACTAGGGATCTGTCATGAACTCAGTGAATCAGAATCTACAGCTACAAAGATACCTCAGGTTGAATGAGTTGTGGTTGTGCAAGGACTCTGAAGTTCAATAAAGCTGGGCTCTTCTCCCAGCTCAACTACTTAAATTATACGATGGATCTTGGACAAGTTACAAAGCCTTCCCAGGTCTCTCAGCCAACAGTAAAATGGAGATGTCTATTAAAAGCACCACAGATGGAAAATATTGATGTTCCTCTACCTAGATGGCACAGGAACTCAGAGAGAATAGTCTAATTCATTTGAAGAGCGAGTTCAAGTTGAGGATAACAGTGGAAAAGACAGTCCAAATTGTAAAAATGAAAAACCGGCAATTATTGGTGTGAGGAATGGAGGAACAATGGGCATTGGGATATTTTGTGTGAGTAAATTCTAAAGCATGAAATCAGAGGAAAAAAAACAAAAGGTTAGTGTAATGGTTTAAGAATTAATTCTGTTTTTATCTAGCAAACATGGGTATAGGGACGGATAGATGGGTGAACAAGCTAAACAATTATGTATGTCTAAATGGAGAGTGTATCCAAGATCATATACAGGGTTGGCAGACAATGGGCCTCTCGAAGAGTATGAAGGGATGGACACTGGGAGGAGGTAACTATGGGGAGGAAGTGGGAGGGGAGCTGCTGCATTGTAAATTTTGGTCAATGACATGAGACAAAGTATATGTGAACTGCTGTATGAAAAGTGAATTTACTCTGTAAATCTTCACCCAAATCCTAAAAAAAAAGAAAAAAAAAAAAAAAAGAATTAATTCTGTTTTTATCTGGCAGACATTCCTGACCTATCTGAAACATTTCATTTGACAATTTCTTTTTTATCTACTTAGGATTCCTCATGCCTACTCACCAGCCTACCCTCCCCACACCCCTGAGAGATTAAGTGGTAAAAGTCAGCTTGGTACATTCAGTCACACAGAAAAGCAGAACGATCACTATCTAATACAACAGACAGAGAAGACATCAGTAAGTTTGAGTGAAATGTTTACATTTATATTGAAATATGCACTAAAACAGAATGAGTTCTACTAGTCAATGAAATTTTGCCAAAGCAGAATCACAAACTTCCGTTTAGGAGGTACAGTCAGCTAGCAGCAGTGATCCCCAAGCAGGAACACCAAGGAGAAGCCTGGGGGACCCCTCTCCAAAAAGTCTCATTTCAAGAGGCCCCAACTCATGCCTCCCACATGCACCCATACAGATTTAGGAGCTTGGACATGCTCCTCATTTTCATATATTTTTAGTTTCTTCTTCACGGCAATAAATATAAAATTGGCAATGCTCATACACCACAGCACAGACAGTATTTCAGGCTTTAGCATACAACTGTAAACAATGACTAGGTTAAAAAATAAAAAGGAAAGAGAAAGTTGTTATTTTTTTTTTTTTTTAACATAAGAGAATTCTTAAGAGCAAGGAATGAGCTACTCAAGATTTTGTTTCATTGGGTTAAAGTTTTTGACAGATTTAGACAGATTTCCCCAACAGTCCAAAGAGTCTCAAGGTGCCTATGGCTGTACAGACTGTGTGGGTAGCAAACCACCACCTAGATCACCAGAGCAGTATATCTTCAACCTGCCACATTCAAGGTATGTTCATAGGCATCTTTAGAGTTCCATCACTGGTTGCCATCTAATGTTGCGCAGGAATAAGTAGGCAAATGAATTAAAAATTTGTTGGGAGAAGAACAGAATAGCTCTGCTAGCTGCTTGGAAAGTTGGCCCCTTAATCACAATGACAACTAGGACATATCACTTGGACAGTGCATTAAAATTTTTTTAATTAAAAAAAAAAAAGGGGGGGGGTGGGGAGGCAGACAAAGAAAAGTCCAAAGACTAAGCCTTAAGTTCTATTGCTATAGTAAACTGGGATGCCTAAAGCAATGCAAAGAAATCTGGCAAGAAACAAAAGTGGACTCAATAGCTGCACAGTAGCAATGGGGCAGAATTTTATTTAAAAGGCGAGTGGTTCAAATACTATTGCTTGAATAGCCTGGTAGATATAAAATGTAGTAACATCTGAACTTTATACACATAAGCAAAAGGAGGTGAAGGCCAACTCACAAAGGGGTATTTGATGCTCAGTCAATAGAGAAGCTAAAAGCGCATGCTGCAGAAGTAACCTAATGGGCTTATCTGGACCATACTCCCACTCTCACAACCAAAAAAGATTTGGATCAGAAAGTGTCTTTTTACACATAAAATTCTGGCTTAATTAATTCTCCCTAGAACTATCCCTCGGCTAATGAAAATATGTCCTGAAAAACTCAAGAACCTGGGCTACTAAAAATAAAAAGGAAACGCCAATATAGAAAACAAGTTTAGTACACATCATGTGTATTTTGTGTTGTTAATGAAGATATGATACATTCAGAAAAACATTTTAAAAAGACAAAACACAAAAATTCTAGAAAGATGCACCAATAAGAAAAAAATTAGCCCAAGTTCTATCCCTCTCAATCAAAAGTGAGTCTTAGCACAAATCAGCCTATCCCCATCCCCTCAACATATAAAAGCACTTCCACTTGCCTTGCAAGCAGAACATAAAACATATGCCTTAGTTATTAAACTTGAGCATTAAGCAGAATCACTGCAGAGCACATTTTGATGGGTTACTTCAATACCCACCTGGTCCAGTTTAAAATATTTGTTTGCAGATCCAGTTTGTACATATTCCATAGGTGTATTTAACAATAAACCATATACAGTCCCATTATTTTTTAGATGGCAGTTCTTATAGCTCAAGCATATCATTAAGATTATAAAGAGCTTTCTGTAAGAAATTCTCAGATGGTGGAGATACATTAAAGAGAAACCCTAAAAGTTAAATAAACCTGGCTTTGTAGACTAAAATGATGGGATAAAGGTAGAACATCTGTTCTGAAGAACATTTTCATTTGTTTCCCCATGGGAAAAGGCCAATTTTATTTTGGAGTGATATACTTTAAAAACTAAGCTAATAAAAAATAAAGTACATACCTTAAGATACTATAAAAGTTGAAATAATGCAGGCCTCATGGAGTAAGAAACAGAGTTCTGATTTCCTCCTTCCCTCAAAAAGGGAAACTGTTACAGAACTTAAGGGAAAAACCAACCAATCAAGCAACAAAACCAGAACTCTGAATATGGATAGCACTACACAGACTATAGCACACAACACCATACAAGAATGAGTTACGTATCAGTAATATCATCATGAGATTAACTGGCTGGGGACTTACACATCCAATAACAGAGCTCCTAGGTCAAAAATGTGTTAAAAACTTGTAACGTCAACAAGGACTTAAAGAAAAAAAAAAAAAAGGGAGGAGAGAGAGAAGGAAAGGCTGCATGCATGGGTCTATTATAGACATAATATTCAGCAGCATAAAAATAAAACCCTCTAAAGGGGTCCCCAAATGGGGCAAAAGTTGTTTTTCACTGCTAAGCCGAAGAAAGATTAAAGAGTGGAGCAACATTACTAGCATCTCCCATATGTGAATGACAATCATGTTCAATCTGACATATATGTTAAGAAAGCCTTCAGACTACAAATGAGTAAAGCAAACTAGACAAAAGGCTAAATATAAACCTTAACTGAAAACAACATCTGTTTTAAAGCCAAGTGGGTGTGATTCTGATAATTATTATACATGACATAATCCACAGAAAGAAAAGCCAAGACAAGAATCTTCATATTGTTCAGTACTTAGGCTGATGCCATCCTAGGAAAAACAGTGATAGTTCAATGAATGTGTCACACAAACTAAAAGTCCCCTTCTGGTTTCAAATGAATTTAAACAACAATCTTCCTTGGCTAATTTTTCTCCTGTATAAAACAAACCTTCTATGTACAGGATCAGTTCAAATCCCTCCTCCCCTTCAAACACTAGAAAGAACATCCAATAACATTCTACAATACAAAGTGCCTTAAGAAAGAGAAGGATTCTGTAGTGCCAGTGATATAACTGATCTGAGGAAGCCGTGATGGTATTAATACTGATGGAAGCCAGTCAGGCAATGGTGGTTTGTTTCTCCTCAGGTGTTTCCTCCAACAACTGCATGATCAGTTCATGGAGAGGTTTGCAGATCTTTGCATAGCCCCCTCCCGTGAGATGCAGAAAATCAAACATGTCGTGGCAGGAGATCGCACCGTCCGAGTGCACAAAGCCCCCATCTATATCTAGGAGCTGAACATTGGCAAGCTTCGGCAAAGAAACCTTGAGAAGCTGGTTCACCTTGGCATTCTTTTGCCTCAAAGGGTTGGGCTTCTCACCTCGTGGTAACAAACCCTACAGGAGAAACAAAGAACATAAAATGAAAAGATTCACTTATTTCTCCCTACTTATTTGTGATTTCAGATATTCCTGGAACCAATGCTCCATTTGTCACTTTCTACTCCTCTAATTTCTGAAATATTGGCCTAGACTGGTTTCACTAAGAGCTCTCTGACCATTCCTTCTCAGTGTCTTCATGGATTTCTTGTCCTCCTCTTCTTTAAGGAGCTCTGGTGGCATAGTGCCTAAGGCATTTGACTGCTAACCAGAAGGCTGGTGGTTCAAACCCACCAGCCACCCCTCGAAAGGAAGATTGGGCAATATACTTCTGGAGTGATACCGCCTTGGAAACCCAAGGAGGGGTTGCTATGAGTCGAAGCTGACTCAACAGCAGTTTGGTTTTTGGTTTCTCTCCTTTAATTGCTGGAATTCTCCAAGATCTTTGTTCTTGGTGCACTATTCTTTCTACTCTTTTAACACATTAGATCAGAAATCTTTCTAGATCTTCAAAATTGCACACTGAACTGCCACTCAGAGAACCAAATGTGAATGTTCCTGAAGCACCTCCAACTTAACATGTCCAAAAGCAAATCATCATCTTCCCCAAAACCACATTTCTTCTATATTCTCTGTATCACTTGGTCATCCCAACATTCCTTAAATGGACAAGCTAAAAGCCTGTCTCATCTTACATACTTTTATCTCCTTATCAAACTACTTAGTTTTTGTTTCCTAAATATTTCTTCAATTCATTCTCTTTTCTCCATACGTGCCCCTCCCTTTTTTTAATTTTTGTAACTTTTTATTGTGATTTGGGTGAAAGTTTAGATTCGTTTTTTACATTCAACAATTCATATACACATTTTATTTAGTGATATTGGTTACATTCCCTGCAGTGTACATCTTGCCTCCCACTGCCTCCTAGTGGTTGCCCTTTCCCTGTGTCCATGCCTATGCATTCATCCCTCCCGACATTTTTCCCTGTGCAAGTGTTGCCCTTCTTTCTTTTTAAAAAATTTTATTGGGATTTGGTGAAAGTTTACAGAGCAAATTCACTTTCCATACAGCAGCTCACATACACTGTCTCATGACATTGACTGCAATTTCCCACAGTGCAACAGCTCTCCTCCCACTTCCTCCCCACCGTTATCTTCCCTGTGTCTTTCTCTCCCATGCACTCCTGGCCCCTAAGCTGTCTCCCTGTGCATACACAGCCCTTCCTCTCCAAGGAGTATATCTACCTAATGTAAATATTGAGGTTTTATGCCTTTTGTTTGGCTGGAAGTCACAGGAGTAGGTTCAATACCAGACCTGAGGGCAGCTACGCACCAGAGTCTCAGGGTTCTACCAAGCTCTATCAGACCAGCAAGGCTGGTCGCTTTTTTTTTTTTTTTTTTAAACGATTTTGCATTTTGTTCCACACTGTTCTCCCACTCTACTCAGGCTCTCCATCCCTTTCATACACTTTTGAGTCTCTGGCTGTTGCAAATGGTTAAGCCCTTGACTACTAACCAAAAGGCTGACCCAGAGGTACCTCAGAAGCAAATCCTAGCAATTTGCTTCTGAAAGGTCAAAGCCTTGAAAACCCTATGGAACGCAGTCTACTCTGTAACAAATGGAGTCACCATGAGTTGAAATGGACTCTACTGCAGCTGATGTTTTTGGTTTTATTATATACACAAGCTATTGCTTGGGAGCTTATCACTATTCAACCTCAATTAATGTAAAATTTCCTCACTAGTCTTCCTACTTCCAGTATTGTCCTTTTCTTCAATCCATTTTTCAGTCATTAAAATAACCTTGTTCAAACACAACACACCTACCTATTAACGCCACATAGAACCTACACTATAAAATACTATGTGAAGTAAGAGTTGGAATGGATGACATCTTGATGAATCAGAGACACTTAACACCTAGCAGCACAAAACAAAATGTGTCCTAAATTCACTTCTGACTTACATGCTAATGATATAATTTTCAGATAAATCTCTGTCTTCCTATTACAGAAAATAAAAGTCTGCCCTTATTTGGCAAGTTGTTGCTGTTGCTGTTATTACGTGCCACTGAGTCAGACCCAACTCATAGTGACCCCTCCTTGGGTTTCCGAGGCAGTATCACAATGGGAAGTAGATTGCCCCATCTTCCTTTCGAGGAGTGGCTGGTGGTTTTGAACTGTTAGCCTTCCGGTTAGCAGTCAAGTGCCTTAGGTACTACGCTACCAGAGCTCCTTATTTGGCAAGAGCAAGGCTTTATCATCTTGAACTAGAAGTGACCTCTACAGGCAAGTGATCCCATTACAAATTATTGCCAGATATCCTAACCTTTTAGTTGTTTTATACCTAATGATGCCACAGCAAGTTGTTATTATTTAGCAAAAATTTTGCCAGCTCTTTCAACCTATAGGGAATGGTAAGAAGTCGTATTTCACACAAAAAATTTTTAGTAAAAAAGAAAGAAAAAAAAAAGTTAATGCTCAAGTTAAGTACCTGTTCATTCCTGCTTAAAATATTTTCATAAAATTTTTGGGCCATGATTATTAATATATTGTGTGGTTGTGTAGTTTCAAAAGAGAAATGTAGAAAAAATGATTCTGCTACCTTGGTCCATTTCCTTCTATCCTTGTTAAGGTGTTAAAAAATGACCTAAGACAAAGTCAATCCTACACTCTGTTTTGTGTGACCGTTAAAAGAACAAGCCTTTGTATCATGTGATTTTTCCCTTTGATTTCTAGTAACTTCTAAAATTTTATGTTAAAGGAAACAAAAAGAAACATTACCCTCCTAATATCTTCAACCCATGTTTTGTTTCCTTCTAGTCTTTCTCCAATACAATACATACTTTCAAGTAATTTTAAATATAATACACATACTGACTCGTATTCCAGCTTCTCACTTCAATATATCATAAGTTCTGTTTACACACAGTCCTCATAACTGTCATATTGCTGCTATGTGCTACTAAGTTAATTTCAATGACAGTGATCCTATGTGACACAGAAGAACTGCTCCTTGGGTTTTCCAGGCTATTACCTTGACGGGAGCAGAATGCCAAGTCTTTCCCCCTGCAGAGCCAGTGAGTGGTTTGAACCACCACTTTTCATTTAGCAGTTTAACAGTTATGCCACCAGGGCTCCTTGTTGTGTGATTAATGCTATTATATTCAATGACTTTTCTAATCCTTCCCCATACAGCTCCCCATTTAGTTTATTTTCAGTATTTCTGTATTGTAGATATCAAAAGTAATACCTCTGTGTATCAAATCTAAAGATATGATTGAAACAAAGAATATTTATGGATGATTTATTCAGCTACATTCATACAACATATACTTCCTGTCCTAAGCCACTACTATGTACCAGCCAGTGTACTTTAGAGATGGACTTAACTACAATGTAATCTTTTCCAGAATAAAACAGGATATAAATAAGCTTATAAAAGTAAATTAAATTGAATACCATGTAATAAAAAAATAAGACCTGGCTCCCCAGTACCCATAGGATAAAGTCCAAATTCCCTAACATGTCATACAAATTCCTAAGAGAATTCCTCAGCTGACCTAAAGATATTCATAATCCCAAAGACTGCATACCAATACAATGATCTTGGCCTGTGGCTGCCTTGTATTGATAAGTTGTACAATGGCCTCAATCCCACCTGCTACCTCTTCTGCTGTATTTTCATGGTTGTTTGTTCCTACCCAGACAACAATGACCTGTAGTTGAGAGAAGGGAAAAAAAGATTAATACCAAAGAATAAAGAAATGTCTGATTTTTAAATGAAAATTTTCAATCAAATATCAAAGGAGAATAGATGAACTTCTTAAATGGCACTGGGTAACTCCAACTGGGTAGCCATCTCAAAACATTGATCTGTACCTCATATATCAGGAAAATTCCAAATGGATTAAACATTCAAATGGCAAAACTGTACTAGAAGGAAACAGAATTATTTTATCACTATGAAGCTAGAAAACAATTTCTCAAAATCCAATAGCTATACAGAAAAGATTGATAAATTCAACTGTGTAAAAATATAATCTGAAAATAAAAAAATATTAAAACAAAGTGAAATCTAAGCAACCTGGGGAAACGTACTTTCAACTCATTATAAATAAAGACTTAAATCTCCCAGACTAGAAGTATTAATAGGGAAAGTACCCAAGGGGGTGGAATGGGTGGTTAATACACAGTTGCCTTAAAAGAAGAGAGTTATTAGAGTGAAGGTTGAATATGGTTTTAGAGTTTATCTCTTAAAAAAAAAAAAATTATTTTAAAAGGTGGTTGTCACTTAGAGATAGGTATCTTAGTAGGTGACCCAACAAAGTAAATCTTTATTTCAAAAGAGAAGCATATAGATGAGTTTTTCTATTAGAAAGGCAAATAAAAAAGTTTCACTTAACAGTTTTTATTAGCTTTGTTCTTCCTTTGTTTGGGGTTGAGAAAATTGTATGCAGTGTCCCAACTCCAGAAGTTCAGAATGTGATAAAGTACTGGGGGTGGATCTCATGGTAAACATTTGTTCATCTCTGCTTCAAATTTTCTTCAGAAGAACTTGGAGGCCTTGATTACTTATTTGCTTATATAGTTAAACAGATTCAAAATGGCCCACCTCCAAGCAGTTTCTCCCCTCACATTGCCCCTGGCCTATGCCTTCCCCAGAATAGCCCATCTCATTAGCATCAAATCTCTTTCTAAAACTGAAAGAGATAATTATGACAATTACAAATACAACCCTAGGCAAATAATAAGCTGATTTCTTAACTGAGTATGTATTTTGGTATGCTCTTAACCAAAGACAGTATCATTTGACAGGAAACAAAGAACTATAGTGAAATAATGTTTTAATGAAATAATGTTTTTACTGCCAATTTTAGACAATTAGAATAATTTAAAAAGCCTCAATATTAATGATAATGATTTCTTTTAAAAATAAGTTTCATTTCACCTTAGGTCTAATGTTCTCCAGTTCTCCATTCTTTAGTCTCCATAAAACATGTCTTGTTGTATCTCCTCCAATTCCAAAATTCAGTGCATGAAGAGGGGAAAAAAGTTCTCGCCATATCTAAAAAGAGAACGTGATTTAAGCCAAAATTAGTGGGAATTAAAGTCCTTTCACTGCAATGTGTTGTGAGGCATTTGAAATAATAATTTCCATTTTCTGTATTCAAACATAACACTGTAACTGGTGTGCCACTCACTGTTTAAAGGGCTTTTAAGATGGATATCACTGTATAACTCAGTTCTTAATGAAGCATTAGGTGTTAGCTTAAGGAACTAATTACAATTCACCTGATGCCCCTGAAGAGGTACCAATGTTTATAATTAAGTTGCCACCTTAATAAACTCTCTTTTCCTATTATTCAACTATTAAAAAAATAATAATAATAAGGTGAACTAGAAACATGAGATGAAGAAATTTAGAGTGCTGGAACCAAAAAGGAATAAAGCTATCTTTTCCTTTAAATTTCCCTTGGAAGAATGCCAAGCCAAAAAAAAAAAAAAAAAACAAACCCACACACAATTATGAAGAGCTTATCTCAAAAATTCGTTAATGGTAAAATGCAAATAGTAAGAACTGAAAATTAAAATTAGTACAAATACAACATAAGGCAAGCAAGAGAGTTTAATTATAAACAATGTTACTTCGTCTCATCATGCTTAGCAGCACAAAGAATCCCTATAGGTATTCAGGAATCCCAATAAGGAATTCCCTTATACTCTGAACTGGAGTTTTCTTAAGAGTCATGAATAAATTTATAGGTTAGCCTAAGAATGAAAGTCTCTTGGTGATTAACAAGTTTACATTAGTAGTCAAGAGGCACCATCCACCCTTCCATCTTTACCTCATATTGCTGCATTAACTGCACCATAGAGTCCCCCACAAATAGTACATCAGGCTCTTTGTCTTTACAGTCCAGGACAAATCTGTTGTGCTGGTTTTGGGAAGAAAGGAAAATTAGAAACTGGTCTTTCTTTTCCTGGTCTAGAGAAAACAGCTGTCCAACCAGTTACTCTGCTGTCAATTGTACGCACTTTGTTGTTGTTTTGCCCCTAATGTGCATTCCTTTGGATCTGCAATTATTCGCATGAACTTTCTTACCAACCTTCTCATACTCATCATTCTAATACAACCAAGAAAACCAGAATTCTACTGAAATCAGAATGGAAATATACTTAACATACATGCTTTTTTAAAAGTTTACCATTTCCCCAAATGGTAAATTTCCCCAAATTGTAAAACTTTTACACAAACAGAAAAGGTAAAAATAAATAACACAACGAACATCTATAAACTCACCACCTATATTCAACAACTAATATTTTCCCCCATGTTTTCGTACTGTGTTTGTGTTTGGCAAACCATTTGAAGAAAGAAGTTGCAGATGTCTTGATTCTTCACCCCTAAATATTTCAGCATCCTTCTAAGAAAACAGGCATTTTATAAAACCACCAAACTGTTACTGGATTTGTAAGCCTGTTAATACCTATTATTCAGTTCAGACTAAATTTTTTTCCAATTCTTCCAAGAAGTGAACAAAGAACTATAGCTATGTTTGTAACCAAGGGAATGTATTTCATTGGGATCTTTTTTTATATTGAGTTTGAAAATGTCTATTAACCTCCAGATGTGAGACAACGGCAAACAAGGACTCCGGCTTTTTCAGACTAATCCCAGGATATAAACAATGGTGACTTAAGTCCTGTTATACTTCTCTGCTCAAAAGGTACAAGACACTTTTTTTATCTGCTATAGATGTAATTGTTATGGATTTTACCCATCAGTACTAAAAGAAATAATCACATTTTCATACTCATCCCTGAAACAAATTTACATTATGTTTTAAGCAACAAGTATCAAATCTAGCTTCAGGGAAAGGTCTGAAGGCCATTTCTTTTTCTCAAACTCTACATTCAATTATGTTCTCCTGAAGAATTAAGGCAAAGTTATAATATTTCTGCTGTTAACACCAATGCAGCTGGAATATTCATCTACTATAGGTGAAAGATAGGCCCCGAGTAGCACAAATGGCTTGTACTCAACTACTAATTAACCAAAAGGTTGACAGTTCAAACCCACCCAGCAGTATCACACAAGAAAGGCCTGGCAATCTGTTTCCATAAAGATTACAGCCAAGAAAAACTGATGGTGCAGTTCTACTCTGTCTTATCAGGCTGCTATGAGTCAGAATTGACTCAATGGCACACAACAACATAGCTGAAAGGCAGGCCCTGGGTGGTGTAAATGGTTTGCACTCCACTACCAACCTAGAAGTTGGCAGTTCTACCCTATCATACATGGAACTGCCAATGAGTCAGAAGTGTCTTGACACCACTAGGTTTTGTGTTTTTGGTTTACAGGTGAAAGAAGAATCCCTGGGTGGCACAAATGGTTAAGTGCTTGGCTACTAACCAAATGACTGGTGGTTTGAACCCCCCAATAGATGCCTTGGAAAAAAGTCCTGATGATCTGCTTCCAAGAGGTCATAGCTATGAAAACCCAATGGAGAACAGTTCTACTCTGCAGCACATAGGGTTGCCATGAATTGGAATTGATTCTAAGGCAAATGATTTGGTACAAGTGAAGGTGGAGTCCCAGGATAGAGCAAATGGTTGGCATACCTGGCAGCTAACCAAAAAGTTGGAGGGCAGTAAGTTTGGAAAAATAGAAAAGACAAAAACAAAGTACCCAAATCCTATCACCTTAGCCCAATTAAGTATTACCATCTTTGCATATTCTCTTCTCATCTTCCACAAGCCCTCCCACCCCCACACACACTTTCTAGGACAGAAAAACGTATGTTTAAATTCTAGCTTGTCTATTTAGCAGACCAGTGACCTTAAGGAAGTACAGAATAGAGTCTCAGGAAGTAAAAAATCTGAGTCTTGGTTTTCTCATCAATTGTTGTTGTTATGTGCCATTGAGTCAGAGACGACTCATAGTGACCCCTCCTTGGGTTTCCCAGGCGTTATCACTACAGAAGTAGATTGCCCAGTCTTCCTTCCAAGGAGTGGCTGGTGGGTTTGAATCTCCAGCCTTCTGGTTAGCAGTCAAGTGCCTTAGGCACTATGCTACCAGAACTCCTAATCAATTAGCAACTCTGTTTAAGTTGTTAGAAAGATTAGAGTTCTCTGAGAGTCTAGTGACTGCCTGGTGCACAGAAGGTACTGAATGGCAGGCATTATATGTGCATCTAACTGAAGTCCCTGGGCAGCACTAATGATTTACGCTTGACTATTAACCAAAAGATTGGCAGTTGGACCAATCCAATGGCTCCTTAAGAAAAAGACCTGGCAATCAGCTTCCATAAAGCTTACAGCCAAGAAACTATGGGGTTGCCATGAGTCAAAATCGACTCAACAGCAATGGGTTAACATTATACTGAACACATTTTTCCCTGTATTTACACACATTTCATAACCATAAAATTTAAAGGCTACATTATATTTTACTGAATGTACCCACTGATACATTTTTCCCCCTGAAGTTCTTCTTCCTATTGGTGGACCTGCCTGTAGCTATTGGTTTGTTTTCTGTTCCTAAAATAATATGGTGACCAAGAGATTTACCTATATTTTACTTTTCATAGAATTCTTAGGTCACAGTGAATTAAAACATTCATGGATCTTGGATATAGTTCTGAATTCTTAACAAATAAACTATTTATCAATGTACACTGACTGCAGCAATGTATTAGAACTATTTTTACTGAAGTTGTACCTGCAATGTATATCAATATTTCTTTCTCTCCCCATTGTTTTTGTACTTTTTGGAAACAAGAAGCTAAACACCTCCTGTCATGTTTCATTATTAGCTGTATGTTTTTCTGGAACTGTCTATCAGAGATACTTACTTACTGGTACTTTGAGGGTATTCTTACCAATTATATGTAACAAAAGATATCAATACTCTATCTAAAATATGTAGGAGCCACGGTGGTGCAGTGGTTAAAACATTTGGCTGCTAACCAAAAGGTCAGTGATTTGAACCTACCAGCTATCTGCTGGAGAAAGATGTGGCAGTCTGCTTCTATAAAGATTTACTGCCTTGGAAATCCTATGAGGCAGTTCTGCTCTGCCCTATAGTGTCACTATGAAGCAGAATTGACTCAATAGCAGTGACTTTGTTTTTTTTCTGGTTTATCTGTAGTATGTACTGCAAATATTTCCCTTAATCTGCAATTGAATCTTCTTTTTCTAGTTAATGTTTTGTTATGATTTTTATTAAATTTGTGTACAAACTTGTCAATATTAAAAAAAAAAAAAAACTTTTACAAAATATATCAAATATACATAAAAGTAGAGGGAATAATACAATGAACCTTCCTCCTCCATGTACCTATCACCAGCTACAGCAATCACTGAACTCATGGACACTATTATTTTAGTCATACCCCAAACTACTTGCCTTCCCACCACCAGGTTATTCTGGAACAAAATGAAGACATGCCATTTCATCTATAAATATTCCAGTAAGTAAATCTTAAAGTATTTAATATGTATAATCACAATACCAATTTCAGTTAAAAAAATTAACAGTAATTTTTAATATCAGTAAGCAACTAGTGTTTAAATTCCTCTACTGTTTCAATAATTTTCGTTTTTGAAATCACAGTTTTCTTAAATCCTTTTTAATAAACAGGTATCCTCTCCCACTCCTCCCAGATTTATTTAGAAATATAACTGACCTATAAAATCTTCCAGAGTCTGGATTTCACTGATTGAATCCCTGAAAAAGTGATTAAGTCTAAATATTTTAGTTTGATATTTTGGCAATACTTCATAGGTAGTATTGAGTATCACCATAATATTGGTTTTAATCAAGACTGTTTCATAACATATATCCCTCTTCTTTTTTACTTTTTGTTTATAAACAGTTTTAGATGTACAGTAAGTTGTCATCTTACATAAATATGGTACATTTATTGAAACTAAAATTAACATTGGTAAATACTACTAATTAAACTAATGTCCTTTTCTGTTCCTGTGGAGAGCCAGGAATCTGGTCTTGTGAAGATGCTTATCTCAGAGACAGCGATCTTTAATAAAACAAAAGGCTCTTACTTATGTCCTTTCTATTTCTCCATACTAACCATACCTTGACCTTTTAAATAGTGTTTGTATAAACTTTCCAGTACCCCTTAGAAATGCCTTCTTTGCCTGACCAATCAGTTACAGCTTTCTTTGTTAGCTGCCTACCAATCAGTTGTTGCCTAATTCGCATGCACGGGCTTCTTTATACCTATCAGCTACTTAATACCTTTAAACATATTTTCTGCACCAATTGCTGGCATCCAGCACTGCCTTAGGTAACTGCCCTTTGATAAACGTCACTTCTAGTATATATGCTTTGTTCTGAATTTAATAAAGTTGAGACTTGATCAGAACTCCTGTCTTGTCTCCATTTCTCGTGTCTTCTGTCCCATCTTCCTCACTCCCTCCCTCAGGGTCTCCGTTGATTGACCTGCGGGCCGGGTCATGTTCCTAGAACCAATCCAGGATATAAGGTTGTATTTAGTTACTACTATCCCCTGTGTAAAGAGCCCTGGTGATGCAGTGGTTAAGTGCTCAGCTGCTAATGAAAAGGTTGGAGGTTCAAATCCACCGGCTGCTCTGTAGGAAAAAGATGTGGAAGTCTACTTCTATAAAGGTTATGGTGTTGGGTAACTAGTGAAAAGATGTCTGCCTTGAGCATTGTGCTCTTTAAGAATTATCTATATGGGATCAAATTGGTAAAAGCAACTCAAAAGATAGGACGAACTTTAGGTGGCAGTGAGTTTATGTTAATGGGGGAGGAACAACTCAGAACAGGAAAATGGAAATGGTTGCACAATTCGAAGAATACAATCAATGTTAATGAACTATGTGTAGAAACTGTTGAACTGGTGTATGTTTTGTTATGCATATTCTCAAAACAATGAAATAAAAAAAATTA